TTTCACATTAATGAATTGTTTTTTTAATTAAAAATATAAAGGCAATTGTTCCTGCTGCTAAGATAATTACGGTGTTAAAAAGGTGATAACAAAGAATTATTATATATAAATGTCACATAAATATTTTTAGCAGTTAAACCATATACCATCTACAAGTTACTTCAGTATTTAAAATTTTTGTTTTCTATTTTAAAATTATAAATTTATATTTTACTAAAAATATGAAATTCATTATTTTATAAATATAGTATGAAATGATAATGAATTACGTAAAAATACTACTTAATTTAATATAACTAAAAACTTAATATATTTGTGTTAAAAACCTTACTTTAACTTTTTAATTTACAAAAAAATAATTAACCATATTAATCTATCATTATAAGGTTAAAAATATAAATAAAATTTGAAATAAAGTACAAAATTAGTCTAGAAAGCTTTGCTCTTATTAAGTTTGGTTTCTATTGTTTTTATTATAATTTAGTTTTTTTAAGTTTTATTTATTTATTTTAAATATTTAATTTCTTAACGAAAAATTAAAAAAATTAGGTTTTATTTAGATTATTTAAAAACTAATTTAACTAATTAATTAAATTAATAAAATTATTTTTAAGCTATTTGTAAAAACATAACTTAATTTTTTTACTAAAAATTATACATTACTAATGACCAAATTTTAATAAAAAAATATAATAAAGTTATAACAAATATCAAATTTTCAGAAGTAGTTTAATAATTTATTCTGAGATTTATTCAATTATACACTAAAACTAATTTTTTCTTTCATATGTAAAAAATGAATAAAAATAAAATAGTATTATGCATTTGGGCAATGAAATCTGGCCCAGTAAGTAATTCCCATGATAAAGCTCCATTCCTGTAAAAAGTATAAAGCTCCATTAGACCGGCTTTACCTCCTTCCTTCACTCCCCAGAACGCCGAAGGAGAAAAGACCAGAACACAGAATGCACAGAAATGGCGCCAAAAGACTCGCAGCTCAGGTTTCCATTGGAAGCACAAAGGCCTTCTCTGCTTCTCCTCTCTCTTGCTCATCTCATACCTACCATGATATTACAGGTCCAAATATTCTCTACTTCTCTGCTTTTTCTTACAGTTTTCCCCTCAATTCTATCACCATTATGCTTGTCTGTTGATCTTCAAACACATTCCTATCTCTGTTTCTTTTCGCTTTTCCCCTGCTCGTTTCGTCTTATAACGAATATCTGTGTGGCCTGCATCTTCTTCTCTGCCCAATTTCACGTTGACAATCTTATGGTTTTTCCTTGTCTTTTTTCTTTTAATGACGTGAACAACTATGCAAAACCTACATGTTTTCGATATTTAAATTTACGTTTTTTGCAACTGATAGAACGATGTGCTTCCATGGAGCTTCCGCTTAATATTTCTCTCTTTGGTTTCTTCTAGGCAATTGCTATTTTGCTTGCCTTATGTCTCCACTGCAAGATTCAAGAACCTCTATGAAAGGCTTTTTAATTCAGGAATTAATTATTCCTTGGAAATTATTTCAGATGGTCGAACCCTTGGTCGAGTTCTTGAATCTTGCAAAGCCTCCTCAAATTTTAAAATGGCAACTGAAACTCATGCCAGAATTATTAGACTTGGGTATGGAACTTACCCGTACCTTGTAGCTTCTTTGATATCAACTTATTTGCGCTGTGATCGTGCTAGTATTTCTTATCAAGTTATTGATCAAGTTCTCTGTTGGGCTTCTGATCTGATCACTGTGAACATAGTTATCGAAAGTCTTATGAGAATTGGAGAGTGCGAACTTGCCAAGAAGGTGTTCGATAAAATGCCTGAACAAGATACAGTTACATGGAACTCAATAATTGGGGGTCATGTTAGAAATCTGCGCTTTGAGGAGGCATTAAGATTTTTCAGGAAGATGCTTAGATCAACTGTTGAACCAGATAAGTTTACATTTGCATCTGCTATAAAAGCGTGTGCAAGACTTGGAACACTAAATCATGCTCTTTGGGTTCATGGTTTGATGATTGAGAAAACAATTGAGATGAATTATATACTGGGTGCAGCTCTGATTGACATGTACTCAAAATGTGGAAGAATTCAAACTGCAAAAGAGATTTTTGAGAGCATTCCGCATAATGATGTGTCAATTTGGAATGCAATGATCAATGGGTTAGCCATCCATGGGCTTGCTGAAGATGCAATTGGAGTTTTCTCAAAAATGGAGATGAAAAATGTTTTGCCTGATTCTATAACTTTTCTTGGAATTCTGACAGCATGTAGTCATTGTGGTTTGGTTGAAGAAGGCCGTAGGTATTTTAAGTTAATGTGTGTTGGGTATTCAATTCAGCCAGAACTCGAGCATTATGGGGCGATGGTAGACCTCCTTGGTCGTGCTGGGAAGTTAGAAATGGCATATGCCATGATCAAAGAAATGCCATTTGAACCAGATGTAGTTATATGGAGAGCACTTCTCAGTGGTTGTAGAACTCATAAAAATCCACAGCTTGGTGAAGTTGCTATTACAAATATATCACGTCTCAGCAGTGGGGATTATGTGTTGTTATCCAACATCTATAGTTCTCTGAATAACTGGGATGGCGCAGAGCACGTTAGAGAAACTATGAAAAAGAAGAAAGTTCGTAAAAATCGAGGGAAGAGTTGGTTTGAGTTGGATGGTGTTATCTACAAATTCAAGGCAGGAGATAGATCTCATGTTGAAACAGAAGCAATCTAAGAATTTTTAGAAGAATTGATTCAAAGAACCAAGTCGGAAGGATTTCTACGTGCAACAGAGTTGGTTGTAATGGATGTATCTGACGAGGAAAAGGAGGAAAACCTGAACTATCACAGTGAAAAGATAGCATTGGCTTATGCAATCTTAAAAACTGGCCCTGGAACTGAACTCAGAATGAAGAAAAACCTCCGGATCTGCCATGACTGTCATGCTTGGATTAAATTAGTTTTTAAAATAATGAACCGAGTCCTTATTGTTAGGGACCGGATCCGGCTTCATCGTTTTGAAGGTGGTTCTTGTTCTTGTAGAGATTTTTGGTAGTTAATTCTATGAACATATGCTGTGTTCAGAAAAATTCATGAAATTTGAAATGCATTGATTTAATTTTGGGTAAAATTTTACATCAAGTAAAAATTTTCATTATTTTATAGTTTTAATACAAAAATAAAGAGAGACTGAAGCAACCATTGTTTTGAAATGAAATAATGAAAATATTATATAGAATATTTTACAGTCCAACTTGAATATTTGCACTCACCACTATTTGATATGGGATTAATTAGGAAAGGAGAATTGG